ATTTCAAGTTTCTCCTTGTAGTCTTTAATATTTAGGACTTGCAATATACACAACTCTGCAAAGTGAGACCTCAGTAGCTGCAGAACTCAAGAACCTAGTTACCATTGATCAAGTAAAAATCTTGTCAGTGTTGGACACCGATGCTCCCTGCTATTTCTTGCCTCAGCAAACCACAGTCAGTGCAAGAGCACCTGCACAGATCCCTCAGTTATTAGCTGCTCCAGCTTCCTCTTTCCAAAATCTCCCAAGCATTGAAAGGACCCTGCTGAAAATCCCCCATGTAATAACACTGGATGCCCCCAAATGCCTTCACTACAGAAATCTTGTTAACTTTTGTCTGAACACAGAACAATTATCTCTTGCCATGGTGTCCTAGTTAGGACAGCTGACACCAGTTCATCATGGTATGGGTGTAACCCAAAACTGTGTATTCTATAGCCTTCCATGACATTTCCCAGAAATTGTTAGCAGTAGAGGCCTGTAGATGTTCCTGTCCTCGTACCCTTTTATGGAATTCCCCGCTCTGAGGGAAGGACTGAGCATCCTCATACCCTTTTATGGAATTTCCCGCTCTGAGGGGAGGACTGAGCGTTCCTGCCTGAACTGGAGAATATATAAACTTGGAGTTTTGGAACCTTTTTACCACTCGTGGGATCCAGAGGAAGACTGCAGCTCACCACTCTCAACCAGACTGCAGCTCACCACCCTCAACTGGACTGCAATCACCACTTTTGACCAGACTGCAACAGCTCTCCCACCAGCAGGTTTTTTTTTCCCCTCTCCCTTTACTTTGGACTCGGGGGGGGGGGTGGGGAGGGGGGGCAAGAAACACCACTTTGTTCATGTCCCAGGGCGCTGGGTTATACATTTGGGTTTTGTGGGTTAAAACCAAACTGCTTGTCTGTATAATCGTACTTATTGTATTATTTTATTAAATTGTTATTCTGATTTATAATCTCTCTTTTGAGTTGAGTTCATTTCCCCTGCTGGTTAACTTTTAAACCAGCACACATGGGTATATTTTCTGTTAGTTGTGCTGTGCTTTTTCTTCATCAGTTCAGTTTACAATAAAGACATCTTGTCTTTCTTTTATTTCCTGAGAAGCACATTTTCTCTCTAGCTATATTACACAAAAACCACCCAAAACATTAATGTGTAGTACAACCTTTTTCTGGGTTATCTCTACAGGTCTGAGGAACGACCTTTTTATTTCTTTCACAGATTTTGGCCTCTTCACAGATTAGGGAGTTTGTGAATGCAATCCATGTCAATATTAGCAAGTGACTATTAAAAAATCCAAAACATAAAAGCAATTTTCAGAAAGAAATCTTGTATACAGCTTAAACTCTTTAAAGGCAGCCTTGGCAGGATTTCTTCTGGCAACTCACAAAGCTTCTCAAATCATGCTTTAGCTGTTCTGCTCTGCTTTCAAGGGTACAAATGATGCCTAGTTTGCATTAGTCAAGTCACAAAAGAAAGCTAGGAAAACCTGGATTGACATAACATGCTAGCAGCAAGAGCTGTTAAGCTGTAAGTAAATAACATCCTTGTTTGTTCTCTAAACCAAGTTCATCTTGGCACAGAAAGTTAACACCAGTGACAGTTCATCTCACTATCGATGAAAGGAGAATTTTGTCTTTTGACATACCAGTAGTGTCATTATCTGGGAATCCTTTGGATTTGAAGCTCTTATGCACTCCCTTCACATTTAGAAGTCAAACTTTTCTTTCTGATGCCAGAAATTAAAATGCCTTCTCCTTAGTGTATTTATATTTACCTATTAAGAATATAGATGAAGCATTTTCTTGCTACTGTAAACTCATCAACCATTTTTCTTAGAATGCCCCCCCAACACATAATCTCAAATACATTTAGAAAAGGTGTTAATTATAGGCAGTGAGGTGACGATATTAGTACAATTAGTATTGCCCAGGTTTGTTTTATGCTCTAGTACATCTTGTCACAAATGGCTGACATAGAGAAGGTAAAAATTTCACCAATGATTCCTTCTCTCTCTTAAAGCAAGGGAAGGTTTTTCCCCCAAAATGAAGCATTTCTTAAACAGTAGCCAAAATGAAGCATCCATTTTGAACAAACCTGTATATCACATGCCAGAACACATGTATTAATGTCATCTTTATTCTCATGATTTTTAAAAGAAAATCCCCAAATCCATTAAAATTATGAACGAAAGCAGCACTGAGGATATAAGCAGTAAAGTACACAAGCCTCACACCCATGGTCCAGATTTAGGTGACATTTTACCAGACAATGGTAAAATGAAGTCACAAACTCCACACAGAAGAAATCCCAGTAATCTCTGCCAATCTGATTTAGGAAAATTTTTTTTCTGGTCCCTAATCTGGATGACTTGCATAACCCTAGGTGTTAAAACACAACGCACAAGAAAATCTGTGCAGTACCCCCAAATGCAGACTGCTAAACATCCTATCACTGGGTGCAACCCGTCTTTAATGTACCAGAGGACAGTAAAAATTATTACACGGCAAAACGCAACAACAGTTCCAAAGATTAAGTTAAAAAAACGAGTTAGCCTCAGCCTTTAACATTCTGCACTGTATTTTGCTTTATGTGGTAAAATTGCCTTTATGAAAGCCAACATAACCTTTACTCTCCAACAAGCAATCAAGCATCTGGTGAATTTAAAGACAACTTTCAATTCATCATCCTTAGGAGACTTAGTCTGCATTTTAAAATTTTTCCCAATGCATATTTCCTTCTAAAGAGAATTAATGTTTCCTGAACAGACATTATAATTATAATTATAGTGCACCTTACAACAATTTAATGAAAATTATGTGCTTTAGTTTCTTTTTTAAAACAGATGAAAATTTACTCATAAAATTACATACCAGCTGAGGTTAAGTTTAAAAATCATATAGATACAAGACCTCTGAAATTGTTTAAATACACACACATCATGATGCAACTCTGGCATGAAATGTGTCTTATTGTTAAATGAAAGTTGATACAGGTCTGAGATTAAGTCAGATGGTATTGGACTCAACAGATCTGTGTGTTTCACAACACTGCCTAACATCGAAACTCTGAGTTAACTTCCATTAGTGATCTCCCTCCCCATCTTCAGTAATTACACTGGTATAATCGAGGTACAGCACACCCCAAAAGAACTTCAGCAGTGTTGTTATGACACATTAGGATAGAATTAATAATAAAATTAATTTATTATTATTTTAAATTAACGATTTTAAATTAACAATAAAATTAATTTATTTTGCTTGTTTCTACTCCAGGCTATTTCCAACACAGAATGAGAATCATTGTGTTCAAGGAGTGCAAATCAAGTACTCCAGCAGCTACAGCAAAGTGAGATTCAGAAGTGATTCACATTTGACAGTGTTTTACCACTGAAAACTCTGACAGTTGAAGTGGAAGAAGTATTTGTAAAGAGACCTAAAACAAATCTGCAGCCCTTCTGGATTATGAAGTGCTTCTACAGCATGTAACAGCTCTGTTGTATACACAGAAATGCTCATAGTCTCTGTTCAAAGGGAACAGTGGGCTTTTGACAGAAATTAAATAACCTGCAAAAGTCTATGTTCTCAATGATGTTCATGGGGGAAAATATTTTTTTCAATGTTTTATGAAAGGATTATAAGTATGAAAATTTGAAGCCAAATTCACACTTTTGGCAACTGAAAGGTCTCAACATACTATTTATTCATGTCTGTCTTCTACCCTGTCCTCCACTGATATCCACTTTATTCCGGCTCAGTGCTAAGTGTTCCCCTCAACCTAGTATTAGGAGATTTTTCAATTGTTTAGCTGAAATAGGTACCAATAGGAGGTTTAGGTGGATGAGAAATGTAATAGAGGAGATGATATCATCAACTCTCACATTTATGGCAGGCAACGCTCCTATACATTAAACCAAAGCCCTCTTCACAAAGGAACACGCTTGTTTAAAATTGCTCATTTTTCAGCAGCATTCTATAACACAAGAACATGTACTAAAGGCTGGTTTCTGATCCCTAGTCTCCATGTAGACCAACATCCTTACTTGTTGGGTCTCCTATTGAAGTGGATGAGAACTGCTATTGATTTCCACATGAATAGGACCTGAAGAATCTAACATAATACTCCTCACAGAAGTCTTGCACTGTGAGGAAGAAGAAACTAGAATCCTTCAGATAAATCATGACAATAAACCACAGATATTAGCTAAAATTATACTAACTGGAAAAATACATAGGCAGTGTCTCTCTGGACTCATGCCTCTTTTACATCACAATGCACTTTATGCCTTTATATAGGAAATCAAAGAGTGCACTGAAAATGGGAGGTTCAGACTTTACACATTAAGCGTGCACATACCTGAGTATGAAACCCATTCAGGAACACGCTGGCACATTCCACATGTGGTAACATGCCATGGTGCAAGCTTGCCTGGCCAGGTGCCACCTCCTACCCTTTTCAGGAGAACCACTGACCCATGGCAGCAAACAGAGAGAGACCGTGCATTTGGGGTGCTGAGTCAGACAAGCAGCAGGCTATCCTGAAGTAAACAAGGCACATGACTGTCGCTCTTCACATACAGGTTCTGGCCTAAAGATCAGCTCAAAGTTTTATTTGGGACTTTAGTGTTAGCTACTTGTTAAGGGCTTCAAAGATATCAAAAAGTGCAAGCCACTCAGTGGCTTTCAGCCACACTCTACTTTCTACTATCACTTTCCTATTGCATCTTTGTGAGTGTGAGGCAGACTAGAAGTGCTCGATGTACTCAAGTCTTGCACATCCAAAACAGTCTGGATACCTTTTTTTTTTTTCCCAAACCAGGCTGGAATAATCCAATATGAGGAGTAATTCAGTTACACTGAAGTCTCATCTTCACAATGATGAACATGGATAGTAACAATAGAAATGAAAATTAAGCTACAGTCATAAGAAACGAATCAGACTTGTGCCCTATCTATAGATCTGGAACTTTAGTTTTCAGTATTAGAGCTATATTAACTGACCTGTGAGTTTTTCCAGAACATCAAATCCATGTTTCAGAGCAATGATATCAAGAAAAGAGACTGTGCCATCTTCAAACCTAAAGAATGGAATAAATGAGCAGAGTAAATAAAACACAGAGTTATGGTAGAGACTTTAAGTCTATTGTAAGAGTTACTATTTTGTATTCAGTGACTCTAACTTGCAGAGGGGGAACTCTTCTCTTAGGGATTCATCTTCCAGTCTTGTAGTGTCCTGTGAATCAAAAATATGTTCTTCAAAGTTATAGAGGTTCATATGAACAGTTGATTGTGCATAGAAAGTTATAATTTTCCCCTGAATGGGCTACTTGTGGGTTTTTAATTTTAAAGTAATGCTTAACAGTTATGTCTTCTGTGTGCTCCTCCTGGAAATTAATTTTTAACTGACCTGTAACAAGAGCACTATAAAAGAACTGGGGGGAAAGTGCAATCCCTATCATTATCTTTTAAAGGAAACACCAAATGGAAACAAAACTGTCAGATTTTATGAACTACTGCAGCCATTCCCACAGTTCAAGAGAAGAAGGTGCAGCTACAAGGTGAGATTATATTCAGGAAGTGGTGCATTCAAGGGGTCAGAAGGAACACCATATCAAGCATCAAAATATGTTCCATTTAGGCTTTGTGTGTACCGCAGTCCACAAGAAGTTTTAAGGAGTGAGTATTCATCTTGCTTCACCACAAAGAGGAACATAGAATAATGAAGACAACTGATGAGGTTGGAACTGTACAGAGCTGTACCATGTAAGACTGAACCTGGGATCACAGCAAGTCTCTAAGAATGAAGAAGCTGTCTCCAAAATTGTAACAGTTAATGCTGTAAATGAGCCTACCAACAACAACTCCAGATCTCATGGTTCAAGTTTAAAATTAAACTCTGACCGTGAGGATGAGACCTCACAGGGAGCTGGTGTTCCTTATAACTTTTTCAGAAAGGTCTGATGATATCCACATTGAAGAATGACTGGACAAGATAGAACAAAACAAAGTTTCAGACTTTTGAGTAAAACACTTTACATACACATTTTTTACCAGAAAACAGGGGATTAATTTTTTTTCTGGATGTATAATTTTTCATAATGCATGTTAAAAGCTTTTGGCACCACAATTAACTATGTATTGTGAAAAGGGTCAAAGGTTAAAAATGTCAGAATTCAAATGTTTTTTCTTTACTAAAATAAACTTCAATAGAATAGCATAACAGCTCTCACTTCTCACTTCTACTGTAAGTTTTCTTATTTCTATTTTATTTTTCTATAGTTATCAAATAATTTAAATACTGCAATTGACATCATCAGATGAAGGACATATAAAGTTTCCAAAATATTTGGCAAACGTTCACACACAAAAAAAAAGCAAGAGTATTGTGTATATATGATAATATGTTCAGCTGTGATGAAAGAAGACAGATAGACATGGCAAATAATTATAAACCAAGTGATAAGAAAAAAGTAGTGGACTGCTACAGGGATGAACGGCCCAAGAGATACTACTCATGTTCACATATTTTAATATAGCATAGGCCAAAGAATCCATCCTAGGAATTTTTGAATCTTGCCTACTAACAATAAACAAGTGCTCCTGAACTTCAGAGAAGCCGCCTCACATGTTGCCAGTGATGAAACGTAAAATGACCATTTGTGATTTGAAAGAGACCTACCACCAGCAATATTTTCACAGAGACCTGTGGACCAGTATCTGAGGGAAGCATTACTCTATCCAAAAAAACATAAAAAATGTGGGAGGAGGAGGAAGAAAAGATGCAGCAGAGGCTAATAGTTGATTTGAAATTAAATACAGAAAAACATTATAAACTTGCACTGGTTGCCAGGAAATGTCACAGTGGTCCCACAAGTCTGCCCAGGAGAGATTACAGAGAGGATCGTGAGGGGGAATTGACCTGCCCTGCTCAGTTACTTGCAATGGCCAGCAAAGGAAGTAAAACACTAGGAACTAGACCAGAGCAGAGACACTGGCACTGAGCCCATCAAGAAGACGGCACAATCCTCAACAACCTTATCATTATCAAAGTAGAAGAGCTCTTGAAAGGGCAACAAAGGTGCTAGCCTAGATTGTCAAAGACCTCCAAATCTTACCTATAGTAAAACGAGAGGCAAAAATTGTATTTCTGTTCATTAGATATCATTATTAACTAAGCAGACAACTACAGTACATCCACTGCTACCCAATAGGAGAGTTGTATGAACCATGTCACTTTTCTGAGACCATAAAGATTTTTATGGAAATAGTTGAGAGCTTAGGTATCACTTTCCATTTGAAAAAAAAAAAGGCAAGCAAACACAGTTCTGGGGGTTTGGCAGATCTTATGCTCCAGAACAGCACTGTTCTGGCAGTATATGCATCCTTCATTGTTTTTGCAGACTCATGTTATTTAGTCTTTCTCTATCACAAAAAATTGCCTCCTTGGAGCTCAATTGCAAGAACCAGAAACCACAAAAGAATTGAAAATAATGCTAAAAAATTTTGCTCAAAGATATGGGCAAGTCTCTCTACAATTTAGATATGGACTATTTCACAACATCCCTCTCTTGTATTTTGTTTGTTCATATGGTTTCTTCTATTCATACATTACCAGTTTTCCATTTCTGATAAACAAAGTATGAATATTTATTATTCCTATAATATGTATATTATATATATAATATATATAATATTTCCAGTGCACTTGACTCTCCCATATTGCTGATGAGCAACTTCGTGTCAAAATTTTCAGGAATCATCTATAAATTATGATATTTAGCAAATTAAGCCTTAAGTGTTATAGCAATAGTGCCATGGCAAAACATGATGCTAAGGGCAGCTATTCCCTTCTTGAGACACAAAGAGCTGTCTGTCAGAATATTTAACCGTATTTAAGATTGGGAGCAGACATGCTTCTTGCATTGCGAAACATTGGCTTCAATGACTACTTTTCTATTTCGTGTAATTGATGATTCAAATAAACTGTTTCCTCACTCAATGGCAGTTTCAGTGTTAGAATAATCAGTCTAGGATGATGCTCATTTGCATGCTGGTCTAGAAGCCATTTCCTGTAGTAATCAAGGTTTTACAGCTGATGATGTATAAAGGATACTTACAAAAGCTAATACTGCAAATACTAACCCAAGAAACAAGAAGCTTACCTCTCTTATCTAGATCTTATTATAATTGATCTCATTTAATCATGTCTGGGATGAGCTCAATTGCTTAGCTGATTGTGTTTGTGAAACGCTAATAGTATTTCACATCAAATTGCTATCTGACAAATTGGTTAAACAACTCATGGCATAACAAAAACCAGAGCAGCCTGCCTAAAATCTATCAAGGAGTTATGAAGCTGATGAGCTGCTCTCCTTTTCCAGGTAACACAAGACTTCTGCTTCTAGAAGGAAAAATTTTTGAGTCATGAAAGAAAACTATTGCCTTACAGAGAGCAGTCCTGCCTTTAGGATCCTCCTAGGGATGGTGACAGGCTAGTCTTTCCTTGAATTCTTGTTCAACTGCTTGTTGTGACACTTCTCTGTTAAACTTCCGCATAGAAATGCTATTTTCTAAAGTCATCATCCCACACTTCAGGACAACTGAAACATGGGTTGGACTTGATGATCTCGGAGGTCCTTTCCAACCCGGCTGATTCTATGGTACTATGGTTCTGTGAAGGGAAATGCTGACACCTTGGGCAGATTCAATTCATCCTCTTCTTAGCCAGGTAACCTTTACATGGAAATATGATGACGAAAACCTTGGCCTGGACTGATGTGACTGGAAATAAAGTGCCTAGGGTCTATAAAAACAACTTATGTTTAAAGAGAGGACTTAGAGCTAAAATTGGTGCAAGGCAAAAATATTACCCTGGTGTTGGACAGCACTGACTTAAGTCAGGAGCCCAGAAAGACCCTCAAGACCAATCAACCAATGCTGAAGTGGTGAAATACCTTGCATAACATAAGCTATTCTATATATGGAAAGTATACAAGGCATGGCTTTTAGGTTTTTGGGTGGGAGCACCTGCTGCTGGATTATGAGAAGGTTGAATTGTTTAGCAGGCAGACGAGTGATTCAGCTGTTTGGGTGGGTTTTTTTGGTTGTTTTTTTTTGTTTGTTTTTGTTTGTTTGTTTGTTTGTTTGTTTTTGTTTTTGTTTTTTTTTCAATTCATTTGTCCAGTTAAAGTAAATCTAGACAGAGCCACTGTGCACAGAATCACAGAATCACAGAATACCAGGTTGGAGGGAACCTCAAGAATCATCCAGTCCAACTTTTCTTGGCAAAAGCACAGTCTAGACAAGATGGCCCAACACCCTGCCCATCTGAATCTTTAAAGCGTGCAATTTTGGGTAATCTAGCACTTGCCTGGGGAGATTATTCCAATGGCTGATTGCTTTCATTGTGAAAAATGTTCCTCTTGTGTCCAATCAGAATCTCCCCACGATTAACTTGTACCCGTTACTCCTTTTCTTTTCCATGTGAATCCTTGTAAAAGGGGAGTCTCCACCTTTGTAGACACCCTTTAAATACTGGAATATGGTGATAAGGTTTCCCTTTTAAAATCTAAAACTTTTGTCTTACTATTCACCTACAGCATGCTCAGCAGGATCCCAAACTCCACAGTATTGTGATCACTGCACCCAAGGCTGTCACTAACTGAGATATTGTAAAGTACATTTTCTTGGTTTGTGTGTAGCAAATTCAGCCTCATTCCTGGCTGACACATCTAACATATGTATGAGAAAGCAGTCCTTTGCACATTCCAGAAACCTGACAGATGATATGTGAGCTGCTGTATTGTTCTACCAGTAATTGTTTGGGTAGTTGAAGTCACCCATTCTATTGATTTGAAGCTTGTTTAAGTTACACTGATACTGCTGCATTGGCTTTACCGCCCTGGTTTGGAGGTCAGTAGCAGATGCCTACTGTAAGATCTTCCTTGGAGATGGCACCTTTCATCTTGAACCACTCATTAGATAGAGCTTCCATAATCTCTTTAGTTGACTTCTACAGTACTCAAGGTTCTTTTTAACTTCGAGTGTGACTCTTCCTCCTCTTCTTTCCTGCCTGTCT